ACTGCCGCTAACCTGAAGTTCCACGACAATCTACAGTGCCGCATATTGACGAAAATCCCACTTTTCATGCAGTGACTGTCACTAGCGTTCCTGAAGTGGACTGCGTACTGATCAGATGAATAGTTACTTTTTCTCAGAGAGATGAACAAATTCCTTCCAAGGCTTGAAGGTCTAGGCTTATCCAGAGGATTTAGGGATTATCCTGCTGGATACCACAAGAGAGACTAAAGGTTAGAACTAGGGGACTCAGAGAGACAAAACTCAAAGATTAGGCTCTGCTAAACTCAGAGGGGCTAGAGTAGCCAATACTGGCGAACACTCTGGCGTCGAGGTGGTGACAATCCGCTGCTCTTATACTCCTCTGATGGCAATGATTAAACGAGCCGCAGGTGTGGGCGCTCGACACCAGGAAGAGCCCCTCGAAGCCAACAGGGCAATGAGGGCACCATCTAGTGGATGGACAAAGACATTAAAAAAGAACACAAAGCAACCCCCACAAACGGGGACCCTAATACTTATTAAATATTGATCATCTGCCCATGGTTATCATGTGTATGTAGTTGATGATTTTCATATTTTGTGTAATGGCTCTTATTGTTTGATAATTTGATGTTTGATGATATAATGTTTGGCCAAATGTTTTATTTCTGTCTCTATTTTAAGAGTGTCAAACATTGTTTAATTTTTAACCCACAATAACCCTATCCTCTTCCCCCCCCCACGTACTCACATGATATGTCCCACTTGAACACCTCTTTCTCCAGTAATTACCTGGTGTCTCCATCAGATACTGATCTGCCTCAGGGTTTTGACATGTATTGCTTTGCTTCAGAGTTTCTTAGTTTTTCTTTATTTTATACAACTGATTCATCTGTTCAGTTTAATATACATTTGTTTTTGTTTTATTCAATTAGAGTTCTTTATTTCTCTTTCTGTCTCCTCAGACTGAATGACTGTAACCTCTCAGAGAGAAGCTGTGAAGTTCTGGCCTCAGTTCTCAGCTCCCAGTCCTCTAATCTGCGAGAGATGGATCTGAGTAACAACAAGCTGCATGATTCTGGAGTGGAGCTGCTGTCTTCTGGACTGAAGAGTCCAAACTGCAAACTGGAAACTCTCAGGTTCATACATTTTTATGCATAATCATCTTTCTTATAACAGTAATCAGTGCTGGATATGAAAGGTAAATTCCCAAAATAAAAGTTCTTACAGGGTTCAGTGGAGCATACAGTAATTACTGACCCAATACAGAGTTTAAAGTTTTTTATCAAAACAAACGTTGATCATCCTGACTGTTTGTGGATGGAGAAAAGGTTTTTTTTGTCCAAATAACATTTGTCTTTTCTTTTTTGACTTGTTTCTCAGACTTAGATCCTGTAACCTCTCAGAGAGAACTTGTCAAGTTCTGTTATCAGTTCTTAGCTCTGAGTCCTGCTGTCTGAGAGAAGTTGACCTGGAGAACAACAACCTTCAAGATTCAGGGGAGAAGCTGCAGGATTACCTGAAGAAAGTTCTGTAAGTACCGATAGAATACGGGTTTAGGCACTAGGAACAAAAATAGTCACTATAGAAGAAGATGATTCCTTCAAAGTCCTCCAAACAATATCATGGACTGATGGTTCTTAGAATCTATTATATAATATTGCTTTTGCTTATGTGATTTTGGTCATTGTCCTTATATTTTATTGATCATCCTTCATTTGTCTGCAAACAAAACTAGGTAAAAGGGTGCTCTATAAAAAAAATAAATATAGTGAAAAATAAAAAGCGTAACTTTTGAAGACATTGCAGTGCTATGATCCAACACTAAGTCAAAAGTTACGCATTTTATTTTCCATTTCAAATCTTGATTATTTTTTAATAAATTTTTATATGAGAATATTAGCAGTTTTGCTCAATAGCTTCCAGGTCATGTGATCTGGACTGGGCTGAAGGCAGAACCAACCAGAACATCCAGTTCATATTTCCTTTCACCTTCAGAGAGCTGAATTTGCAGAAAGGGAAGAAGTTCAGTTTGATGGAACTTGTTCATCACTTCTTTACTGAAACCAAAGAAATATGCAGCTTTGAACACTTCCAGGTTCTGTTCATCTTAGATGGTCTGGATGAGAGCCAGCTTTCTTTGGACTTCCACCACAATAAGATCCTGACTGATGTTACAGAGTCCACCTCAGTGGATGTTCTGCTGACAAACCTCATCAGGGGAAAACTGCTTTCCTCTGCTCTCCTCTGGATAACCACACGACCTGCAGCAGCCAATCAGATCCCTCCTGAGTGTGTTAGCAGGGTAACGGAGGTCAGAGGGTTCACCAACCCACAGAAGGAGGAGTACTTCAGGAAGAGGTTCAGAGATGAAGAGAAGGCCAGCAGAACCATCTCCCACATTAAAAGATTAAAAAGTCTCTTCATTATGTGTCACATTCCCGTCTTCTGTTGAATCACTGCTGATGTTCTGGAGGGTTTCTTGGAGACCAGAGATGGAGGAGAGCTGCCAAAGACCTTGACTAGGATGTACATCCTCTTCCTGAATTTTCAGGTCGAACAGAAAATGATCAAATACGATGTAACACAGAAGACAGAGTCCCCATGGACTCCAGAGAACATCAAGATGGTTCAGTCTCTGGGGAAACTGGCCTTTGAAGGGCTGCTGGACGGAAACCTGATTTTCTATAAACCAGACCTGGAAAAGTGTGGCATCATCATCAAAGATGCTTCATGGTTCTCAGGGGTGTTCACTGATATCTTTAAAGAGGAGAAAAAGATGGACAACACCTCAGTCTACTGCTTTGTTCATCTGAGCTTCCAGGAGTTTTTGGCTGCACTCTACTTGCTCCACTGCTTCACCAGCAGGAACACAGAGGTGGTGGAGAACTTCCTGGGAGAAAAATACACAGAAACATCTCTGGAGGACTTTATGAAGAAAGTCATGGAGAAATCCCTCAGGAATAAAAATGGCCACCTGGACCTGTTGGTTCGCTTCCTTCATGGCCTCTCTGTGGAGTCCAACCACAGCCTCTTAGGAGGCCTGCTGGGTCAGATCGAGAACAGTCCAGAAACCATCCAGAGAGTCATCAGCAATCTGAAGAAGATTAACAATGGTAGATTCTCTATTGTCAAAACCATCAACATCTTCCACTGTCATCAGGAAATGGGGGACCTTTTAGATTATCGGAAGATCAAGGACTTCCTGAAATCAGAGAAGTATGTCCCAGAGATCCTGTGCTCAGCTCTGGCCAACATACTGCAGATGTCATGGGAGGTCGTGGATGAGTTAGACCTGGAGAAGTACAACACAACAGAGAATGGACGTTGGAGACTGTTTCCAGCTTTGAGTAACTGCAAAAAGGCTCGGTGAGTCCAGATGTCTTCATGGTGTGATGCTGATTCAGCTCTATTGTCCTCCTCTCAGCCATTGGCTGTTAAAGACAGAGAGGAACCATGNTTTTGGATCATATCGGCCAGTGGAAAGAGGTTTTTGTGTTTGTCTTGTCTCCTGATCTTCCACTGTTCCTCCCCCGCAGCGTCCTCTGGGTATTTGGCGCTATATGTGGGGAGGTTCAGTTTTTATCTCTGTAAGACTGGCTTCAGGGAGGAGACCAGTTTAAAGGTCCTGCATCAAGTTCTGGTTCCACATCCTGTCTCGTCTACCCTCTTCTACTGAGCCTGCTAATCTGCACCTGATCCTGTCTGCTCCTGTGCGTAACCGCTTGGCCACGCTTCTGAACTCTGTCAGACTCTGAACCTGTCTGGGAGCTTGTTTTTGGCTGGAAGCCTGGATCCTGCCACCTGTTCTGTTTCTGCCTGATCTGCATCCTGTTTTGTCTGTTGCTGCCTGATCTGTATCCCTGATCAGGATCGGCTTCCTGCAACTCCTCCGGAGCTGCAGCACTGGGGACACTCTGGGTGACGCGAGCTGCATCAGCTGTCAGCCCATCAGCTGGATTGCACCCCCCTCAAGGGGTATGGACTGAACTGCTAAACCAGTCTGAGATTGGACAGTGCCCCGCCCCCCCTCCTGCAGTATCCGCGAGCCACAGCTCAACTTTAGTTTTGGTTATTTAATAAACGTTTTGAACTTTCCTACTGACTGTCTCTCCTTGAATAATGGGTCCATCCGTCCTCGTTTCATGACAATATCTGGACTTTCTACTCCTTCCTTTCTCCAAACTGGCTCATTTCTTCTCTCCATATTAATAACAACATGACATAAGAGCTGCAACAAAAAAGGAATCAGGAATCAGGAATATAATCTGTCCAGTTGGAGCCCAGTTAGTTTGTAGAAAAACACTGATAGAGATATGGATGAAGACAAAAGGCTGGAGACATTAATGGATCAGATTGTGAGACGCAGACATTCCCCGTCCATTCCCCCTTTATTAGGGAGGAAATGTCCATGTTGATTCTGTTTGCAGCTTTAATGCTGTGAATAGCAGAGCTCTAAAAGGATTCAGCTGCTGATGAAGGACTTCTGTTCACTTCCATCTATACCATCCTGTCAGGAATTAGAATCTAGAACCAAACTAGACCCAGTCAGGATTTTATGTTCTCTCTACCAACGGAGTGAGTAAAGGAGCTAAATAAACCTGTTTTCTCACCAGAGAAATTATTTTAAGGAATAAAGTTTTAAAGGTTATTTTTATATTTTGAAGCAAAAACTTAATTTAATTGAGTAGAGTCGGATCTTTTTTCCTTTGTCTTCAGTAAATCAGTTCAGTCAGTCTTTTCTTAAAGGTATCTGTACTTCTACTTCAGTAAAGAAAGTGAAAACTTCTGACACCTCTGGATCCTGAGAGTTTTGTTCCCATAGTTTCTAGCAACTCCTCTGGGCTTTATCTCCATCTCAGTATGGTAGCAGCTGTGTACCGGTGTTATGCTATATTTAGTGACCCTGGCCAAAGAGAGAATGTGTTCAGTGATGCTGTATGATTGGGCCAGCACAGTGTCAGTGAGGAAAATAACCAATGGTCCTTGGACTAGTGTTTATCACGTGCCGTGGTCACATATTCTGCTGGAATGTTTTAATGGAGTTTTAATCTGCATCCTGTTGAATTCAGCTAAAATCTTTGATTCTTTATTCAGATTGGGGGAATGCAGATTGTCAGAGAATGGCTGGGCTTCTCTGTTCTCAGCTCTGAAGTCTAATCCATCCCATCTGATAGAGCTGCACATGTTCAATGCCAAACTTGACCCTAGAATGAAGGAGCTCTGTGGGTTTCTCCAGTCTCCCCTCTGCAAACTACAGAGACTGACGTAAGATGTAGTATATTTGTTTATTCTAATAACATTACATTGCAAATCTCAGTGTGAAGGTAAATCACTGAGCTAGTAAAGGATTAAATAGACTGATCATAAAAAACTCCATGAACACACGTCCAACTTCTGGGAGAAAAATAAAAACAGGGAGAATTACAAGCCAAACTGTTAAATCAGATGTTTTTTTTTTTTTTTATGCAGATGAATCAGCAAATGCAGAGAGATTTATTAAGTCACTGCTGTGATTCTGTGATGATGATTTGGGTAAAGTGCTGACTCAGCAGCTGGCTTTCAGAAACGTTAATATTTCAGATGCAGTACCTGTCACATGTTGAACAAAATGAATAAAAACCTACACAGAAAAATATTATAGGCTTTCATTTGTATGATAAAATAATAAACTATCAAAATAGCTGAAAAAGTTCAGTTTGAACATGTTAAAGGAAAACAATGATTTCTTCAGTATCTCAGTAGTGCAGTTTGTTTGTGTTCCCCTTTTATTGATTGTAACATTTTATTTATAAAAACTTTCAGCTCATCCTATGTATAAACATGGTACTGAATAAAATAATAAAAAGATCAATAACAGCAAATCATTAGAACTTGCATTGACTTGGATAGACAGAAAAGTCAGAGATGAATGAAAGGATGAGGTTGTGTTTGTTTTAATGAACAGCTGCAAAGTAGATGATGGAAGGATTCAGCCATTTTGGGCCCCATGTTAACTTTAATCAGGGGCCCTTAACTGAGTCAGTTATTCTCAACCTTTTGGTGTCACGACCCCCAATTTTACATGCACTGCTGTCCATGAACACGCCCCCCCCCTTTTTTTTTTGGATTACGTATACTTATATTTCACTTCAGCTTTTAGTCTCTTTGTCATCTTGATTTGAAACACATTGGGACTTTTTGAAAAACATAAAGCATCAAGAGGCTAACTTCCCAACCAGACAAACATTTGTTGCTACATCCCATCAGTTTGCTGTNATCACTGAGCTAGTAAAGGATTAAATAGACTGATCATAAAAAACTCCATGAACACACGTCCAACTTCTGGGAGAAAAATAAAAACAGGGAGAATTACAAGCCAAACTGTTAAATCAGATGTTTTTTTTTTTTTTTATGCAGATGAATCAGCAAATGCAGAGAGATTTATTAAGTCACTGCTGTGATTCTGTGATGATGATTTGGGTTAAGTGCTGACTCAGCAGCTGGCTTTCAGAAACGTTAATATTTCAGATGCAGTACCTGTCACATGTTGAACAAAATGAATAAAAACCTACACAGAAAAATATTATAGGCTTTCATTTGTATGATAAAATAATAAACTATCAAAATAGCTGAAAAAGTTCAGTTTGAACATGTTAAAGGAAAACAATGATTTCTTCAGTATCTCAGTAGTGCAGTTTGTTTGTGTTCCCCTTTTATTGATTGTAACATTTTATTTATAAAAACTTTCAGCTCATCCTATGTATAAACATGGTACTGAATAAAATAATAAAAAGATCAATAACAGCAAATCATTAGAACTTGCATTGACTTGGATAGACAGAAAAGTCAGAGATGAATGAAAGGATGAGGTTGTGTTTGTTTTAATGAACAGCTGCAAAGTAGATGATGGAAGGATTCAGCCATTTTGGGCCCCATGTTAACTTTAATCAGGGGCCCTTAACTGAGTCAGTTATTCTCAACCTTTTGGTGTCACGACCCCCAATTTTACATGCACTGCTGTCCATGAACACGCCCCCCCCCTTTTTTTTTTGGATTACGTATACTTATATTTCACTTCAGCTTTTAGTCTCTTTGTCATCTTGATTTGAAACACATTGGGACTTTTTGAAAAACATAAAGCATCAAGAGGCTAACTTCCCAACCAGACAAACATTTGTTGCTACATCCCATCAGTTTGCTGTTAAAATGTAAACAAATTACAAAAAATATATTTTCCTTTTAATGAAGTAAAACAATAACAGAGTTTGCTAAACTTTAACAAAGCACACAGCTTTTCAATTCAATTTAATCCCAGAGGGAAATTCAATATGGGAACAACCCATATGGCGTTACATTGATATCATAACCAACGCAAGCAAAATAAACATACTCGCATGTATGTTAAACTACTTCTGCGCATGGTTTATCTACCGCAGCGCGAGAAACTGCTGCTTCAAGAGGAGAAAATCTCTCTCCGCGCGCACCAGCCCCTCCCACGCCATGCGGGATCTCCCTGCGCATACAATTTTCTATCCAGTGGCCACGCTTGAAGACGGCTGCCCTCTTGAAAAAGTCTCTGCGCTCAGACCGATTTTCTCCTCGCGCGGAGAAAAAGTGGTTTTGACAGGTTGGGCGGAGACAACTGTAAGCCTCCTCCTGATTGGACCTTGCAGACATGATCTCAGAGGAAGTAGTGTCAGGAAGCATTTGACTGACTGCTCGTCAATTAAGACGACGCCTTGAGGTGACTTCGGTAAAGTTAGAAAGATATTCACAGATTCGGACTTCCGGGATCAATAACTCTCACACGAAACGTTGTTAAAACACAAATGACCTATCTTTCATGTCCTGATAGCACAGACTATGAACTAGAAGAATCAAAAAGCGAGAGAAACGAGCCGTTCTCCGAGCTGGATGTATTACATTGATCTGTCTGTGCATAGAAATCAATGTAATACATCTAGCTTGCAGAATGGCAATTTTTTCTCGAAAATAACGCTTTTTGATTCTTGTAGTTCATAGTCTGTGCTACCAGGACATGAAAGATGCGTCATTTGTGTTTCAACAACATTTCGTGTGAGAGTTATTGATCCCGGCAGTCCGAATCTGTGAATATCTTTCTAACTTTACCGAAGTTGCCTCTTAACTGACGAGCTGTCAGTCAAATGCATCCTGACACTACTTCCTGTGAGATCGTGTCTGCAAGGCCCAATCGTCCGAGCGCAGAGACGTTTTCAAGAGGGCAGCTGTCTTCGAGCGTGGCCACTGGATAGAAAATTGTGCACGCATGGAGCTTCTGAGCGCGCGTAGAGGAGCTGGCGCGCACGGAGAGAGATTTTCCCCTTTTGAAGCAGCACTTTCTCCCGCAGCGGTAGATAAACCATGCGCAGAAGTAGTTTAA